TGGAGGTAGGAGAATCATTTGAGCCTGTAAGGTGGAGGCTACAGTGAGCCACGATCACAGCACTGCACTCTAGCCTGAGTGACAGAGCGAGACCCTATCTCAAAATAAAATAAAATAAAATAAAATAAAATTTAAAAGGCCTCCCAGGTTCCTCCGTGTGCCAGCAGTCAGCATCTAGTCCCGTTTCTGCCCGTGCCTCACCTGCAGCACCAACGAGTCCAGGGCCACCCTCCGAATTTCCGGGACCGGGTAGGGGGCGAAGGCATCATAGTCCGATTCGGCGTAGAGGCGGAAGCAGACGCCGGGACCCGTGCGGCCTGCCCGGCCCTTCCGCTGCTCTGCGCTGGCCTGGCTGATCCAGAACTCCTGCAGCCGCTGCAGCTTGGCCTGCGGGTCGTAGCTCATCTCCTTCACCTTCCCTGGATGGGAGCAACGAGGAAAGGGAGTCTGTGTGTGGCAGCCACGTGCGGCCGGCCACTCGCCAACACCCTCACTCCTTTATTCTGTTAATGATAACCGAGGGCTTATTCTGAGTCCAACTCTGACATTTTATTTATTCTTTCATTTCCTCACTTACACATCTTTTTTTTTTTTGAGATGGAGTCTTGTTCTATTGCCCAGGCTGGAGTGCAGTGGCGCAATCTCGGCTCACCGCAATCTCCACCTTCTGAGTTCAAGCAATTCTTCTCCCCCAGCCTCCCAAGTAGCCAGGATTACAGGCGTGCACCACTACACCCGGCTAATTTTTTGTATTTTTAGTAGAGACTGGTTTCACCATGTTGGTCATGCTGGTCTCAAACTCCTGACATCAAGTGATCCACCTGCCTTGGCCTCCCAAAGTGCTTGGATTACAGGTGTGAGCCACCATGCCCAGTTGATCCTGTGGATTTAAGGAACAATTCTCCCCTCAACAAGGGTTTTGACATTCCCCTCAGTGGCTTGGCTAGCCCTATCCTTCCTGGCCCTGACACTCAGGAATTGGTCCTGTGTAAATGCTTCCTGGCTGGCCAGGCACAATGGCTCACGCCTATAATCCCACTACTTTAGAAGGACAAGGTGGGAAGATCACTGGAGCTCAGAAGTATGAGACCAGCCTGGGCAACATAGCAAGACCTGATCTCTACTAAAAATTTAAAAAGTTAGGCTGAGCACAGTGGCTGACGCCTAGAATCCCAGCACTTTGGGAGGCCAAGGCAGGTGGATCACGAGGTCAGGAGAGTGAGACCACCCTGGCTAACACGGTGAAACCCTGTCTCTACTGAAAAAAAAAAAAAA